AAAAGTGACAGTTACAATGAAAAATCAGCTTGCTTTCCTATCTATTACCAAAAATAGGTGAGAATTGTTGATGTTATAAGCTATTTCATCAATACCTAATTAAGATCAAAAGCATATAGATGATAATCGGAATTTAATCCACATATTCTACTCAACCCTTAACAAATCTTACCTCTGATTAATGCCAAAGAATACGTATAACCATTAGATTCATAATAATGTTGTGATGACTAAATTAATTCCAATCTTTTTCATTATACGAATAGAATGAAAATATATTCTCATGATTAATGATTGTGAAAAAGTGTTATCGACATATCTTTATTTAGAATTTAAACATAGTTATGGGAGATTTTAAATTTTAAATTAACTAACTTTATATTTTAATAATGCGCTGCAACCTCACATTGAAATAAAGATTTTCATTCTGATCATGCGATGGAGATGATTTAAATCACATCTGATATGCATATATTATCACATAGACTTAAAACATCATGTGGTTATGTGTCCGACCAATAGTGTTTTGTGATTTGTACATATTATTCTAATTTTTAAACAATATAAATAGATAGCACTATGTTATTGGGTGAGTATATAACTAACATGGTACTTCAAGAAGACAAAATAATTATTTCCTCAAATAGTATTCAAAATTTTGTACTCAAATTTAGTCATCATAAAATTATTGCATAGCTAAATATAACTTGAGGGAACCAAATGGGAATATAATTACCTTGATTAACTTCAAAAGCTCCCAGTTAAAAAGTTTTTATGTAATTTTAATGATTCATTCTGTTTTATTGTATTCACCATATTTAATCCTAATTTAATCCCCCAAAAAGAAATCATAAAAATTCAAGAACTTACTGTGATTATTAAGACTATATTCTTGATCATGAATCATCTTGTGATGTAGAATTAATATCAAATAAACTACAAATGTCCATTAATATATAGAATCTGTGAATCATAGACAAGTGTGAATCCACTTAATCCATTACACATCTGCCTTCATACACAAGGCCCATAATTGTTTAAGGATTGCAGCTCTATAGACAAGAAAGTAGTTCACTAACTCATCACCCTTCATGTCACTCTCTCCATGAACATCTGGAATTTATTGATCATATAGAGAGACCTAAGGTTGATTCATATTTGACAGCGACATTACATAACCAATCCATTTGTTTAATTACTACATTAGATTTTCAAATTAATCTTCCAAAAGGGTGTTGGCGTTTGACGGTATTATTGTCTCAGTTGTTCAGGTCTTGGGTTCATCCCTCTTATAGATGAATCACATAGCCGTTGTTGTGCTTTTTCTATATTTTTAAAATGTATTGTTAGACTATAATATGTTTGGTGTAACTTTTTCTCAAACTGACAATTCAAAATCAAGAATCAAGATCTAAAAGTCTCTCCTTTCTCAGGTTCTAGATTATTAATTATTTCTATCTCATAGGCTACAAAACAAAGTGAACAAAATATCTATTAATTAGTTAGAACCTCTATTGTAACACCGCAATCCTTCACATGTCATTGATATTATCCTCTTTGAGCCAAGCCCACACGGATTTGTTCTTTCCAGTGGGTCACCCATCCCATAACTACTCCAGCCTCCCATAACTACTCCAGCCTAAGCACGCTTAACTGGAGAGTTCTGTTAGGAATTTCACCACCCGAGAAAAGGCCTCGATGCTATATAAGGGTGTAAGTTTTTACTTTTATAACTTAGAAATTCCCCCTCTATTCCCAATGTGGGACACCAGGACCTTACAATCCACCTCCCTTAAGGCTGCACATCCCCGTGCAGTAGCCTGCCAGCTCACAAGGCCGCCCACAGGCATTGATATTGTCTGTTTTGGGCCAAGCCCGCACAGATTTGTTTTTCCCAATGGGTCACCCATCCCAAAACTACTCCAGCCTAATCACGCTTAAGTGGGGAGTTCTACTAGGGATTTCATCATCCGGAAAAAGGCCTCGATGCTATATAAGGGTCTAGGTTTTTACTTTCATAGCCTAGGAACTCCTCCTCCATTCCCGATGTAGGACACCAGGACCTTACACCTATACTTTCCGTATATTTATTGAGATTTCTCTTTTTCATGTTTGGAAGTTACTTTATATTAATTATGTATTGTATTTAGTTCAAAGACTTCTAAATTATGCTGTCGTTGTTGTGATTATTGTGCATATTTGAATGTCCAATTCAATAGATTTCTCTAAAATTTCCAAAAAAAATAAAATGAGCCAACTAATGAACAAATTAAAGATACAAATGATGCAATGAAGTTGTGCCAGATCAATAGATCTAATTACATCTATGGCACATGGCAAAGTTAACACCAACCATATCATTGATGAGTTGGTTATGGTGAGATAGAAAAAGATCTAAAAAAGGACTACAAAGTCTACACACAACAGCACATACCTTTGTTGAGATATGTAGTTAAACTGGGCTTAATGGGCTTTGTCTAGCTGTCAATAGGCCTAACTAACAAGAGGGGACCGTTATATTTATCTATTGGTTACAATGGTGGCCCCATTTGAGTTCTTGCCATATCCATAATGCAAATCACACATGATTTTAACAATGACTAGACCAAAAACAACAACAATAACAATAGTAATAATAATAATTAATTTTAACAAAGGCATGTTTAATTTAAGGATTCATGCCCATTAGTCACGGATCATTGGCTCTTTACGATTATGTTTATGTAGGACTGAAATGAAACTATAGCTGAAACCTGTCTTATGTAAGTGTGTGCAGATTTTTCGTGTGCAATGTCCCTACCTCGTCAATCCATCTAAGCTCCTTTTGTCCAGCTCCCTAGCAAGTAGGGATGGCTAAAGATTGGATTCAATTTTAAACTTAACTATTTTATTAATAAAACTTTACGTTTTAATTTAATCTTGATAATTTTAATCTATTTACCACTATACTCGACCTTATTCTATCAAAGCTCTCCTAAATTTTTTTTATTAGAACCAAATTAGGTCAAATACAATTAGATTGAGTAAATTTTTCATCCCAACAAATAAAAACTCTTATGGTCACGTTTATAAAAATTACTACGCACATGTTAATCCCTGTTATCAAGTTTTAAAAAAAATAAAATAAAAAATAAAACTAAAAACTAGGTTCATAACTGCAAGTTGAAGTTGGTTAGGCACATGCAACCATATGGTTGGTATCTTCTCTCATTAGTATTTATATAGAATAAATAACAAAACAAAAGCACACGAGATCTTCATGAAATCTATAATTAGGTCACAGAATTGAATTGCTGGGAAGTCAATTCACTGGCCAACCTATCTACAGTGAGATGATGATGATGATGATGATGGTGACAATGACAGTGGCTAAGATGATGGTGAACCAAAATGTCTTGTTCTCAAAGGGAAATTACACAAAAAAAAAAATTTACAGAATAAAATATATATATATACATATGAAATAAGTGTAAAATCTATGTAAATTATAGTTACATGTGAAATTTATCTTTTATCTCACATGGGTTTTATTTTATAAAATTTTTATGACTTTTTGAGATCAAAATATCATAGCTACTTGTTTTTGCCATTATTGTAGCTTTGCCTTGTGGTCATGTGTGAATTTAAAACTCGTTAGCTAATAGGTTAAAATAATTAAAAAAAATCTAAAAAAATTATAAAAAGAAATTAAAAAATTCATTCCCATTATCTCTACTTTTTACATTTTTTTTAATAAAAAATCAAAAAGTTATTCCCAAACACTCTTTGTCATTACATATTTTAATCCCAAAATGATTTTTTTTAATAAAAAATCAAAAAGTTATTCCCAAACACTCTTTGTCATTACATATTTTAATCCCAAAATGATAAACTATCAATAGATCCTAATAGTTTAACTTAATTCTCATCAAGTCTTATTAAAATGAGTCCTAAAAAAATCATCGTTAAGAATAAATTTTGTGACGCTTTTTTGCATGTCTCTAAAAATTGACAATTAGTAATTTTTTTTGTCATGATTTTTATAAATTGTCATTAAAATTTACAATTAGTGACATTTTTCTATAACAAATTTTTTAAACTGAAAATTAAAAATTAGTGACATTTTTTGTGACATTTTTTTTTAAACTATCGTTAAAACTTATAATTAGTGATATTTTTTGTGTCAATTTTTAAACTATCACTAAAAATTAACAATGTTATTTTTTATTAGTGTTTAATGAAAAATACTATTAATTATCATAAAATTTTTTAGATAATAAATCCAATTATTATGATCTAAACGTAAACCCCTCCAACAAAAAAAAAAAAAAAAACTTCTCAAATGAATCCTTAAATTTCTTCAAATTGTAGTAAATCATACACTTGCCCGCATTATAATGATAAAACTGACATTTAGATTTTAAATTTGTAAAGGAAAAAGAGAAATGAAGTAACTATATAGCCTAATTAGATTGATTCTTTAAAATTTCCATTTCAGCAAAAACACATATATGTCAAAGAAATTAAAAAATTAATAATTTATATCAAAAAATCAAAGATTCTCTTTTCTCTCTACTTTTTACGCATCTTTTCATAAAAAACTAAAAAACTCATCCCAAACTTACCAAATTTTTTACATCATATTTTAGCTAAAAATCTAAAAAGTTACTAAAAAAACTTATTCACAAACGAGGCTTAAATCTTTGTTTGGCATTGGCTTTTTAGCTAATTTTTTTGTTTTGTGACTTTTTTAACCTTGTTCGATTTCACTTTTTTAATTTTTTTAACTTTTGTGAGAAAAAAATATAATGATTATAATTTGGATGTGATATTTTATCTTATTAGTTTATTTAGCTTATTTTGTCATTTTGTGCTTTTTTTAGCTCAAAAATGATAGCCAGACGAAGCTTAAAAGAAAAAAACTCACATTTAAAAGATAAAAGCAGTCACCAGCAAAATGTCCAACATAAGAAAGTAACTAATTATATCAGTATAACTATTTTTGCTATTACCCGCCAAAATAAATAAATAGATAAAAATATAATTCTCTGCATTAATAGTCAAAATCTTAACCTCTAGATGTTACAAAAAATGAACTCAATTATCAAATAAATGTATCAGATTCTGGTAAAAAATACCAATTTGTCTCAGAATATCAAAACCAAAATACACCAACAGAGCTCAGCAGGATCATGAGAGTGTCTGATTAGAGAATTATGCCCTAGAACAATGCTCGGTTCCTCGTACAGTTGTCTATCAAGAACACCCACGAGCATTCCCAGATTGTTGTTGGTGCACCAGCATGTTACGCTGAAGTTGCTCTCGGGAAAATTTAGTTCTCAAAATTATTTTTGTATTCTGACAGGCCGAAGAATCATTGGGCATCTTCTTCCTTAGGGGATGAGATGGAGCTGATGACTTTAAGATAGTATTCCCAGGATAAATTTGTCTTTGTGATAGGCCGCTGACCAAACGGATTCAGCTCTACGTATTTTCGAACATTGTCAGCCATGGCTAATCCTTCCAGATAAACCCGAAGATCACCACCGGGTCCTGTTATCAATTAAAGAATTGAAAATTCACTCACAATCATACAATAAAAATTGTGTAAATTTAACTTGGATATCTAAATATATAAGCTACAATGGAAGATGGAAATAGAGAGCAATTACCACAACCAACAAAAATGATCACATATACACGGATGAAGTAACATCTCTATAGACCAAATAATGCAAAGATTATAAGTTGTATTAGTAAATTGACTTTTAGAAGGCCATGCAAAAAAAAAATTAATAATAATAATAATAAGGGGTACAATAAATCTCATTAAACTATAACTCGTTTGCATTTTGCCACTAAAACAAGAGAAGCAAAGCACAAGATCACAAGATCACAAGATAAGGATATTATTATCCTAAAAAATAAATAAGTGTGTCATGTACTTCACACATAACCTATTTCTATTTAAATTTCTAACAGAATCTTAACGTTCGAGGTGGTTAGGTTTAGGGGGCAAAGTGCAAATGAATTATAGTTTAAGGAGAAAATTTATCCTAACATAAAAGGAAGATCTAGGAATTGGTCCAACGTTTTGCAACCATCATGCTTAGACACGGTGTCAAAAGTAAATTTGGAGGATATGAAATTTCAGAAAAATTAGGATGAGCAGACAAAAAGAGTAAAACTTCACATCAATTTGTCGCAGATCCATGATGCAATAGTAGGCCAGACACATTCACAAGAATATATTTAGATGCCCCACAATTCTTCAGGAAGACATTTCATTATATCAATTGATTCTAAAGCAGAAACTCACAATTTTAGTAGTGTGACTCACCTAAAGAATTGTCTTTTACATTCTTGTACTGGTATGAATGAGGGAAGATTGCAGTGTGCGGCTGAATAATTGGAAAAAGGAAACAGATAGATGTCAAAATATAGGGTAAACATTGCAAACATTATTTATACATGATATACTAAACAAGAAACAGGACATGGAAAACTGAACAAGTGAAGAAAAACAGACTAACTTACAGGGTTGCACAAGGCTTTATACGGAGAATCATCCAACAACAGTGTGTTCGATTCGTTATACTCTCCCCTCTTCCATGGAAGATTTCGGTCACGCTTTTCCCATAATTTTTTAATTTCCTTTAAAACCAAGGGCTTTTCTTTATTCTCAACAGTATAAAAACCTGTACGTGTACAGTGAGACTGATTCTGCACAAAACCAATCTTCGTGTTATTAAACTGTTCAAAAAGTTAAACTGCTAGCAGACAAAAATTGTTAAAAAAAATTCATATACTAAGGTCGCATCTCCACGTTAATTGCTCGCCACAAGCAACACTAGTTTGGGCATTTCTAAAAATTTGAACCTTGCACATCTAGACTGATTATGGTTGTTAACTATCTTAAAACATCAATACAGAGAAGTGAAGATGAATTATGATTGTCGCAGATAACAATTGCAAGAATAAATATAACAGGACTCACTTCATAAAATGTAAAGCCCTAAGATGGAAATCAATAGGGCACCTTTCCCATATAGAGACAATCAGATTGTTTGCAAAAGGATTCAAATCTATGAGTATCTACAGTGGGAGGGTCCATTGAACTAAATCTCTTACCACAGCAGATGAAAAAAAAAAAAAAAAAAGAGACCCTTACGAACTGAAATGCAGGGCAAATAGTTAGCTTATAATAATACCAGAGATCTAATAGACAAAGGCACTAACATTGCACCTAAAAATAACCTACTCTTCTTCTGGTCATCCTCCAAAAAAATAAACCTCTACTTTCACAAATGCCAGAAATTATTTTCTAAATTGCTATGCCCTATCAAAAGCTCTTTAGAAATCTTTTTTTATTCACAAAACATACAGAAATAATAGAATGTAATGACTGAAATTGCTAATGCAACCATAGAATTTACGAGGCAAGCAACAAAACATTTGTCGTATATATGCAAGACCTACTCCTGAAGAATAATTGCCTAAAATCTATTAAACAAGGCATCGGCCCAGTATTCAAAATTTAGTCACAAAGAACTTGCACCAAAAAGTTTTCTACCATCCAGAAACAACTATCAAGTCCACGTGTGTGCGAGTAGGTTCACCTTTACTAGGCATCTACTAGTTAAAAAATACTTCCCTCGAGAAAGACAAACAGAGATTACTTGAGGGGTTGTTTTGTTCCTATGACAGGAGTTCAAATGATGAATCCTTAATTTTTTTTTTACTCCAAGTACATCAGCATTATCCAAGACAATTTCAAGTTTGGACTAATCCCAATAGATGAAAGCAATCATCCGCAAACCTCATGAATCAGGTAAGTCAACAGATGGTTAAACCCAAGACGTCCAACTAATGAGTCAGCACCTCAATGATATTGCAAAGAAATTACATGAAAATGTACACAATGAATTAAATCAGATGCATTTCACTGAGGGAAAACATCTGATTTCATAAAACATTAATCCTTTTTTTTACAACTCAACCATGTAGCTTAGAATCACCCAGAGAATTCAGCAAAGGCAAATCAAAGTGACCACAAAACTAGTTGGCTGCATAAAATTATGTTCAATCCACATATGCTAATCGTCAACAGGGTGTCCCTGTTGGTTTTGTAAAAACAGCTTTGCAATCTCATCTAAACAAAATCAGTGATCAAACAGAATATAAAACTCACAGCAGTAGCATAGCTATTCAAGCTTCCAAAATTACAGAAACACCGAAGAATTTCAAAGTACAATCTTATTATGGTGCACAACCACTGCTAATATTAAAATATGGAGCAATATTAATAAAACCGTATTTCAAGTGGAAAATATGCATTTGCTATTGCAGAGATAAAAATGTCAGACACAAAGTAGAAACCAGGCAACTGGTGTATAACCCTAAGAATATCTAGAAAGACTTGGTAGTAAATAAAGAACAGACATTTGAACAATGATGCAGAAACCAAGTGCTCAATGCAACTTAAGTTTATTGAGTAATCTGAAGAAAAGAATTGGAAGGCTTACCCAACAAAAAAGTAAATTGTGCTTGAAATTTCCCATGAGAAAACCAATTACTGATTCCACATTTTTCCTGCAGCAAATTAACAAATGAACAAGTCATTTACCAGAAAATGCTAAAAAATATGAAAAATAAAGCAACAGATCAAAAATAGCAATTTGACTTGATAACAAAACAAAGAAAACAGTATATCTCTTAAGCCAAAGGAAGAAGAGTACTTGGTCCTCGATGACCAGACACCCACACAAAATCTCTCAAAGCAAAACTGAAGAAAATCGTCACAAAAGGGTCTCTTAAAAACTGGTACAGAAAATGAAGATCAAGTTAAAACCAAGCTGTTGTAGAACAGATAACCAACTTCAACAAAATTACTTGTCTTAGTCAATTCTCACCTGCTTTCTGTGATATTACTGTGTCTGGTTTACGTCTTCCAGATACATATGGAAAAATATCAGCAAGTAGTCCATTCACATCGAGGACAAGAAGCTTTTTTTTCAAATTGTCAGGAGGAACTCGTAGTGACGATTGCAACCTCTGTCGAGGCCCTTCCTTTCCAATAACAGCTAGGCTAACATCATGATCATCATCTGTCATTGTACCAAACTGTGATGATGAAGGTATTGCATCTTTTAACTTGGGTTGTATACCCAAATTGTCATACTCTAGGTTCTCAACATAAGGATCACTGCCAGAAGGATCACTGCCAGATGCATCATCAGAAGCTTCGTCGTCCTTGTAAAATGTTGTAGATTTATGAAAAATTTCTTCTGCAGACACATCCAGCACTGCATTCTGGATGACATTGGGCTTGTCCTTATCCCTCTTATCATGTTCAAAAGAAATTTCCGAGAGATCAACCTGAGAGGCATCATTCACAACACTCTGTTCATTATTAATCACTTTCAAGTTTTCCATCTCAACTTTCTTCTCCTGTTCCCTAGATGCAGGTTCATCATCTGGAAATTCACCAGAAGCTTTACCCAGAGAGATATGTCCTCTAACCAGCAAAGAGGTGCCATGTTCTGCTACCACATCCCCAACCCCCATCATTTTCTCTGAGCAGCAAGATGCATATGCTTTGTCTGAATGATTCAAAGAAGTATCTCTCACAGAACTGTCTTGTACAACCAGTACTGATGGGGAAGCAGCTTCCACAATGGATCCTAAACTGGTTACTCCGGAATCAGAGAACTTTCCCCTTTTCCTCTTATTGCTTTTGACTCGTTTCTTCCGTTGACAGGGTTTAGTACTGCCCACGTCAAAAGAAGCATCAATCTGAACTCGGTCATCATCCAGCACTGCATTCTGGATGACATTTGGCTTCTCCTTATCCCCGTTAGCATGTTCACAAAAATTTTCCTGGGGATCTACCCAAGAGGCATTGTTTTCCACCTCAACTTTCCTCTCCTGTTCCCCAGATGCAGGTTCACCATCTGGAAATTCACCAGAAGCTTTACCCAGCGAGATATGTCCTCTAACCAGCAAAGAGGTGCCATGTTCTGCTACCGTTTCCCCAACCCCCATCATTTTCTCTGAGCAGCCAGATGCATATGCTTCATCTGAATGATTCAAAGAAGTATCTCTCACTGAACTGTCTTGTACAACCAGTACAGAGGGGGAAGCAGCTTCCTTGATGGATCCTAAACTGGTTACTCCGGAATCAGAGAATTTTCCCCTTATCCTCTTATTGCTTTTAATTTGTTTCTTCCTCTGATTGGGTTTAGTAGCTTGGTCATCATCCAGCACTGCACTATGGATGACATGTGGCTTATCCTTATCCCCGTTACCATGTTCACAAAAAAATTCTCGCAAATCTACCCGAGATGCATCGTTCACAACACACTGTTCATTATTAATCCTTTTCAAGTTTTCCAACTCAACTTTCTTCTCATGTTCCCCAGATGCAGGTTTACTATCTGGACATTCATCAGAAGCTTTATCCAGTGAGATACCTCCTGTTGTAACAAGCAAAGAGGTGCCACGTTCTGCTACCACTTCCCCAACCCCCTTCATTTTATCTGAGCAGCCACATGCAGATACATATGCTTCTTGTACAACTAATAATGAAGAGGAAGCAACCTCCTTGATCGATCCTAAACTGGTTACACTGGAATCAAATAATTTTCTCTTTGTCCTCCAATTTCTTTTTGCTCGTTTCTTCCTCTGAGCTTGGTCATCATCTGGGAGATCTACCCGAGAAGCATCGTTCACAACACTCTGATCAGCATTAATCCCTTTCAAGTTTGCCATCTCAACTTTCTTCTCCTGTTCCCCAGATGCAGGTTCACAAACTAGACATTCACCAGAAGCTTTATCCAGTGAGATACCTCCTGTTGTAACAAGCAAAGAGGTGCTGTGTTCTGCTACCACTTCCCCAACCCCCATCATTTTATCTGAGCATCCAGATGCAGATGCAGATGCAGATGCTTCTTGTACAACCAATAATGAAGGGGAAGCAATGGATCCCAAACTGGTTACACTGGAATCAAATAATTCTCTCTTTTTCTTCCAATTTCTTTTCACTCGTTTCTTCCTCTGAGCTTGGTCATCATCTGGGAGATCTACCCGAGAAGCATTGTTCACAACACTCTGATCAGCATTAATCGCTCTCAAGTTTGCCATCTCAACTTTCTTCTCCTGTTCCCCAGATGCAGGTACACAATCTGGACATTCACCAGAAGCTTTATCCAGTGAGATACCTCCTGTTGTAACAAGCAAAGAGGTGCCGTGTTCTGCGACCACATCCCGAACCCCAATCATTTTATCTGAGCATCCAGATGCCGATGCCGATGCAGATGCAGATGCTTCTTGTACAACCAATAATGAAGGGGAAGCAACATTGTTGATAGATCCCAAACTGGTTACACTGGAATCAAATAATTTTCTCCTTTTCCTCCGATTTCTTCTCACTCGTTTCTTCCTCTGAGCTTGGTCATCATCTGGGAGATCTACCCGAGAAGCATCGTTCACAACACTCTGATCGGTATTAATCCCTTTCAAGGTGCCACGTTCTGCTACCACTTCCCCAACCCTCATGATTTCATCAGAGCAGCCAGATGCATATGCTTCATGTGAATGATTCAAAGAAGTCTCTCTCACAGAACTGTCTTGTACAACCAGTAATGAGGGGGGAGCAACCTCCTTGATGGATACTAAACTGGTTACACTAGAATCAGATAACTTTCTCTTTTCCCTCCGATTTTGTTTCTTCCTCTGATTGGGTTTAGTAGCTTGGTCATCATCCAGCACTGCACTATGGATGACATGTGGCTTATCCTTATCCCCGTTACCATGTTCACAAAAAAATTCTCGCAAATCTACCCGAGATGCATCGTTCACAACACACTGTTCATTATTAATCCTTTTCAAGTTTTCCAACTCAACTTTCTTCTCATGTTCCCCAGATGCAGGTTTACTATCTGGACATTCATCAGAAGCTTTATCCAGTGAGATACCTCCTGTTGTAACAAGCAAAGAGGTGCTGTGTTCTGCTACCACTTCCCCAACCCCCATCATTTTATCTGAGCATCCAGATGCAGATGCAGATGCAGATGCTTCTTGTACAACCAATAATGAAGGGGAAGCAATGGATCCCAAACTGGTTACACTGGAATCAAATAATTCTCTCTTTTTCTTCCAATTTCTTTTCACTCGTTTCTTCCTCTGAGCTTGGTCATCATCTGGGAGATCTACCCGAGAAGCATCGTTCACAACACTCTGATCGGTATTAATCCCTTTCAAGGTGCCACGTTCTGCTACCACTTCCCCAACCCCCTTCATTTTATCTGAGCAGCCACATGCAGATACATATGCTTCTTGTACAACTAATAATGAAGAGGAAGCAACCTCCTTGATCGATCCTAAACTGGTTACACTGGAATCAAATAATTCTCTCTTTTTCTTCCAATTTCTTTTCACTCGTTTCTTCCTCTGAGCTTGGTCATCATCTGGGAGATCTACCCGAGAAGCATCGTTCACAACACTCTGATCGGTATTAATCCCTTTCAAGGTGCCACGTTCTGCTACCACTTCCCCAACCCCCTTCATTTTATCTGAGCAGCCACATGCAGATACATATGCTTCTTGTACAACTAATAATGAAGAGGAAGCAACCTCCTTGATCGATCCTAAACTGGTTACACTGGAATCAAATAATTCTCTCTTTTTCTTCCAATTTCTTTTCACTCGTTTCTTCCTCTGAGCTTGGTCATCATCTGGGAGATCTACCCGAGAAGCATCGTTCACAACACTCTGATCGGTATTAATCCCTTTCAAGGTGCCACGTTCTGCTACCACTTCCCCAACCCCCTTCATTTTATCTGAGCAGCCACATGCAGATACATATGCTTCTTGTACAACTAATAATGAAGAGGAAGCAACCTCCTTGATCGATCCTAAACTGGTTACACTGGAATCAAATAATTCTCTCTTTTTCTTCCAATTTCTTTTCACTCGTTTCTTCCTCTGAGCTTGGTCATCATCTGGGAGATCTACCCGAGAAGCATCGTTCACAACACTCTGATCAGCATTAATCCCTTTCAAGTTTGCCATCTCAACTTTCTTCTCCTGTTCCCCAGATGCAGGTTCACAAACTAGCCGACACACCTATGAATCTCAATCACACTGCAAAAGCGGCCGTAACGGGTGGCGGTAACCACCAAAACCGTTACGTGACGGCGTTACGTAACGGTTGCAGCCGCTTTTTAAAACCTTGGGTGTAACAATTATCCTCCTTAGAAAAGCTTGCATCATTGTCTATCTCAAAAATCTTCTCTTACACAACTAAATAACAAGCATATAAAGCACATCTGCAACATAAAGAATAATAAAAAAGGAATGAAGGGAACCCAAGATAAGGTGATGAAAGTCAATGAACAACCCAAATTAAATGCCAAGGGTATAGGATGACACACTATGAGTTCATTTGGAAAGTGGGTTGACTTTTTGGCGTTTTTGATTATTTTAGCCTGAGGCTAAAAAGTATTGTTTGGGAAAGGCTTTTGGCCTTTTTGTGAGAGGAATAATGTAATGATTATGAGTTGAATGTGATATTTTATCTTATTGAGCTAAAAAAAACTATTTTGTTTTTTTGTGGATAAAATAGCCAAAAAAGCCCCAAACTTGGCTTCTCAAACGAAGCCTATATCTTCTAAGTGCATCTTTCAACATAAATGAAAGAAATCTGGGTAAAGTGTCTAAATTAATTGGTTGAATACAAGGTTGTTAAAATCGGGATCCTACGTTGGATCGTTGGAAGTATTTATAGGATCGGATCGAGAATCGTAAGATCCTACCGAAAAAGACAAATTACATACTAATTTAATTTAAATAAATATTTCTTGAAAGTATACACAAAATGAGCCTATATTCTATTAAAAAGAAGTGAAGATATTGTGAAAAATATAATAATTCATGTAAAATGTACATATACTATTATACAATATAAAACTCGTTGGTAAAAATTTTGTATTTCCTCAAAAAAGAAGATGAAGAAGAAGAATTCTATAACAAAATACTTTACAATCTGCAACAATGCATAAAAATGAAGAAAAAATATTTAACAAAGTTGGATATGAAAATAGATTAAGAACTCAAAAGAACAGCTCCGAATGATAAGGTTTGTCATTAGCATCCCTGGTGAAGAGGATTCGAGTCACAAAAATAATCTCTCCAAAAATTAAGATAAAGTTGCAATCATCTTACCCTCCTTAAACTCTGCTAAAGCTAAGTTTGTTTTTCAACTCGTTAATTTTCTTAAATTATTGCAATATTTGAATGTTTATTTCCTAATTTGTTTTTTTTTAGTCTATTTGATTCAATACTACTTATTTTTTATTATTTATATTGACCACATAAATTAGTATTTAGACAACAAACATAAAATTTACAATAAAATATGTCATACAAAACAAAACAAGGCTTGTAAATTGGATTGGATAGGATCGGATTCGGATCGGGATTCCACGATCCTGTAAGGGCCCATTACCAGGATCGAAAGATCCTACCTATAAGGAATTTTTTACACGATCCGGATCGATTGTACTCAAATGGATCATAAGATCGTAGGATCGTAAGATCCGGATCAGGATTCTAATAATATTATAAACAACAGCATTAAGCAGTCATATGTTTCCTTGAAATGAGAAACGAACATAAACACAAATTAAAAGGAGATGCTAAATTATCCCAAACCAAAATGGTGTGACGTACTAAGGAAGCTACATCAAGCAACCTGTGGATATGTATGATCTCATAAATGCAATCAAGTCTTACACAATACATGGACGTAAGAAAATGTATTGTTTCCTCTACAATATGTTCTTTTAATATGGTCAGAGATATATTGCTAACTCCATGATGTATTAGTCCACTCATCAAGCGTGTTTAAGGGCGTCACATCAATGTGATAGTAACTCCTGAATATAGATATTAAATCATCCCAAAAACAATTGCCCTATTGGTGATGACATATATAATATAAATTATAAAATAGGTTGACAAATAAGACAGCCAATTAAGAGATGCTTTCCCTTCTTTTTGTTTTTTTGTGGTTTGAGATTTGAATGGACCATGAAGGCAAACTACATATATTTGCCTCAATGAGTCAAAAGTAGCTTAAACAAGCAAATTAAATCAAGATTGAGGTGAATATTTGGAAATGTTGACAAAGTATGATTGGGATGGAAAAATGAAAATCATGTATTTCAATGGACGACTACCTTAGATAAATTAGTCAAGTGCAAAGAGACCAATGGCAATGACATCATCAATGAGAATATGTTCACACAAGTTGAAAATGAGTAGAAAGTAAAGGCAGAATGTTACCAAGACTAACTCGGAGGAAATAACATTAATGCTTTAAAATACAGCCATTGAAAAACTATTAAGTATCAAAGCAAGAGACTGAGTTATCAAGAACAAAATTTACGGGTTTGTTTGGTTTGGTTTTGAGAGAGTAGTTTTTAAAAATTGTTTTGGGGAGAGAGTTTAGAAATTTTTTTGGTTTGTTTGGTTGTGTATTTTGAAAGTAGTTTTGGAGTTTAGAAGTTTGCAATGATTTGATATTTTATTGTAATTGAGTAGATGTGTGTGAGAAAAAAAGTGATTGAGAAGGAGAGGAGAGAGAGAAAAAGTGATTGATTGATGTGTAAAAGAGAAAAAGTGATTTTGAAAATTGTTTTAAAAAAATTACAAACCAAACAAGTTTTTTCAAAAAATTTTCCCAAAATCACTCTACAAATACAAACCAAACATATCCTCCATAAAACTAAATAGTTGCAAGATAACATATTTTGCATCAAGCAAACTGCTTTAATGATAAACTGAAGAAATAATAAAATCAAATGAAACACCAGGAGTAGTAATCAATGTGTCTCCCTAACTAAATATAAACAAGCTATGATGCATAATACAAATTGATGTAGTTTGGAGCCACACTTAAAATTGTTAGATCACCAATTGCCCCAAAACCCCAAAAAGCTTAAGCAATTAGGAAATGAAACGTATATCAAGGAATCTAATACCCTCCCTCGCTGCAATTCATCTTTGCATGTAGAGATGCAAACATCCATATTCCATGCATAGATCGAAGAAAGAATACAAACAAGAGAAGAAACAACGCAAAGGGAGACCAAATGCAAACAGAGAGACTTGAAACCAAGTCCTTCATCATCTACCATGTTCAATCACCAATTGTCTAAAAAACTTAAGTTATTAGAAAATGGACCCCGACCATTAAACAAAGATGAAATATGGCTTACGCGGGCAAGCAAAGTAATTTGTTGAGACAATATACAATCAAGTAAAGGCCTAGTGTACAAGCATGTTTTAGTAAACTAATAAGCTCATTGCATAAGGATTATTCAACGCCTTGCAACACACCATGATACCATGGAATGCAGCCTCGGGGCCCTAACCTATTTAAAGGTACTGGCGAACAGTGAAACAAACGAGATCCTGCTTGAAATGCATAACAAATCATCATGGGTGCAATGTACTTATGAAACAAGAGTTTTTAAAACATACCACCCAATTTGAAATTGATTGATCAGCACTTATATCAAAACTTCTTTTCAGAAACATTGCCTCCCGGGCCAACAAAACCTGCTTCCATAACTGCTCACTCCCATAAGACTTCCACTGAAACTTTTCTGGTAAGGATCCAACTTCTGGATCACAAGGATCCTTTGCAACCTCAACAACCCAATCCAGCATTCCTCGGCAACACTCCCGCCTTCTCTTCCTATTAGAAACCTCCTCTGTAACAACAGTGGAATCAGAAATCATGCTATCTTTGCCTTCAGACATATTTCGTGGGTCTTCCACATTTTTCCTAGCTTCATTGGAAGCTATGGAACTTGGAACCTCATCGTCATTGCGCAATTTTCCAACATTTGTAGAATTCAAGTGACTCTTTTCCAAATCCAAATATGGGTATTCTTCATCTTTCTTCTTTGTATCCAAAATTTCCGATGAAACCTCTCGAAACTCTCGCTCTAGCTCCATTAAACAAGCACTCAGATCTGCACCACTATCCCTAACAATTCTCTGTAAACATCTATCCAAACTATCTAAATACTTGATGTAGATCAATTTCACAGCAGAACCAACACCAGAACCCAACCCAGACTCTTCGGCCACCCAATCCCACAACCCATTTGTGGAAACCGACTCATACCCACCTCTCTCTCTCACTACCAAGTATAGCTTGAACAAGTCAACTGATTTCTCATCTCCAAGCATTGGAGGCAAAGGCCTAAAACAATCACTCCCAGAGTTCTGTTTGAGTAAAGTACACAAGAAATGATTGAACAAACAACGAAGCTTGTCTTCTTCAACACAACCAACATAATCGTTACAAAACCCGTTTGTTTGAAGCTTTTGAGGGGTTTTGAATCGATCTAAAGCAGACCCATCAGCTATCTTCGACCACCCTGCCATGGATTGTGAATGCAAACCCTAAAAACAAATTATTACTCTGTTTCAAAAAAAATTCAAAACCCAGAATAAAAAATATAGCAAAACATTGACAACAACAAGAGTATATTGATAAATAGAGTGATTTATGTACCGATTAACCATCTGGGTATTTAAGAGAGATGGGTTTTTGGCGGGAAGAACTGATCTAGGGTTTGAACCATTTTTGGATCCCCATCATTTAAGTCCCGCTCTTTCTCTCTCTAAGAAAAACCCAGAAGAGAGAGAGGGGGGTATTTCAATTTTTGTACAGAAACAGGCCCTTCTCTTTCAAAAAATTCAAAGATTTGTGATTGGAGAAGTAAAGGAAGAGAGACGTACCAGTATTTTCTTTGTTTTGAGGGGAGTGTTTGGGATTTCGCTTGACCTCTTTGTCCTTTCCTCCTTTTTTGCCCTCTTTCCCAACCCCCCCTTTTGTAAGGCAATTGTGAGCAATAAAAGGGAGTGATGGGAGGGAGAGATCTAATGAAAGGGATTTTGGATGTGTATATTAGGGTTTTTTAAGGGTTGGCCAATACTCTTTATAGTTGGGATATTTAACTAACCATGGTTAATTAACTAGGGTAGTGAGTTAGAGATAGGGTTGATAGTGGGTTGTGATTGGGTGAAGGGTTCTTTGGGAAAGAAAAAGATATGAATGAGCCCACCTACATCAACTTTACATCAGATGTAATTTGGGTGGATTCAATTCAAATAATTTAAAAAGTCTCAATTTTTAGTTTATAAAAATTAAGAAGTAAGTTTTTATTTATTTTTGTAAAAAAATAAAAACAAAAAAACTTATTTAGCGTATAAAAATATTTTGAAAACAAAATAAAAATAGAAAAATATATTTGATGAATTGTCAAATTTGGCATTGGGAGATGGATGGTAGATAGATGTGGTAGCCAGCAGTGGTAAGTGGCTGAAGTTAGTGGTTAGATGTCGGCGAACGTCACAAAGTGGCCAAAAGCACTTCAAAAGGTGGCTGAAGATTATGACTGTGCGCATGCCACCCATCGAAGAGTTGTCGAAGGTTGGTTGGAACTCACCATTCACGAGCAGTGGATAGTTGTCTTTGGTGGCTAGTGGTTCGTGGTGCCTAGTGGGCAAAGGTGAACGGTGGAAGAAGAAAGTGAAAACACATTTTATATTTTCAAAAAATTTAAAAATTTTGAAATCAAACCGAAAACATAAAATAAGAAATAAAAATGTTAATAAACAGCCCTTTATATGTTGTTTGATAAATTTTAGGATTTAAGTAAAATAATTTTAATTTTGAACATGGTTTGAATTCAATTTGTCAGTCCAAATTAAAATCAAATAGGGCATGTGCGAGGGTTTTTATAACACGAGCAACTTAATTCTATTGTTAATATATGTAAATTATATATGATAAAGATGAAATATTATAAATTATTTTTCAGTGTTTAGATTAAATCATGTTTCGTGTTTGTATTTTGACACATTTTTAGGGGTGGTTTGAGATAATCTAAATTAGTGTATTTTTTGACTTAAGGGTTGGATAGGGATTAGGTTTGAAGTGATGTGTTAAAAAGGTGATGTGACTTAAATAAGATGATGTGACTTAAATAGGATAGTGACTTTTTGACTTTTTTAGATCATGTCAAACAAGGCTTTACTACTTTGTGGGTGTTTGAGAAGTTGCTATTTTAGGAGACTATTTTAGTTTTTGACTATTTTAATAGGCTAAAATTTTTGTGTTTAGGAAGATAATTGAATTTTTTCGTAATTGGATATGATATTTGTGAGAGAAAAAGTGAAATGATTATGGATTTAATGTGATATTTTGTCTTATTAACTATTTTAGCTTATTTTATCTTTTTGTATATTTTAACCTAAAAGAAGCCAAAATTCTTCTTGCCAAACACCCCCAATTTATTTTAAACTATGCAACACATAAGTATATTTCATTTTAAAATTCGCAACACATAAGTATACAACAGCCAAAGATAACTTTTATGTATTTGAATTTATGCAAATCCTAGTTCAGGGTTGGTTTGAAATATTATAAATAAGTGTATTTTTTTATTTTTTATAAAAATATGTGTAAAAAAATAGAGAGGATATATTGATTGATGTGACTCAAAAAAGATAAAAAGTATGTACTTATTTAAAATAAATCCTTTGAGTTAAGAGCTATTTTGAAAAGATGACTAGCTTTTAACTCATTTTTAGTTACAGCATCTCTCATTTTTATACTTATTTTTAAAAATAAAAAAATCAAATTTTAACATCTCCCAAAACAATCCTAACCTTGGACTTAGGTAAACATGTTTGAACAACTCAAGCTCATATTCGAATTGGGGCAATAGGGCTGACTTTGGACACAAGCCAAGGAAGCCGCCTCTTTGGGCCTTAGAAAATTAATTTAAAAAAAGGTCATAAAAATTTGTTAATTATTATATTAGTCTATAAAAATAAAATAAAAAATCAGTGGATTGTAAAGGATCTCAACAAAATTCAATTATAATTTAAAATTAATTGATGTGATAAATTGTTTGAAATTATTGAATGATTATTTTCTAAATGTATGAATTATATACAGAATTTGACTAATTATACTACTTACAATTGCTATTTTCAAATTAAAATTGATTAAATCTTACATTTACTCAATTATGCCAAATAGAAGATTAAATGAACTAACAATTTTAACCATCGAAAATGATTTAACTTATAAATTGGATTACACAAACTGGATTAGTAACTTTACAATTAAAAATGTCAGAAGAATGATGTTTAAGTGATTTTTGTTCCACTCTGTTTACTTTTTATTTGATATTTCATTTCAGATTATTTTGATCATTTTTCTTATTATAAACTTTAATGTATATTTAAGTAAATTTCAATATATATTATATAATATATACGAGAAGTAATATTTTTTACAAATATTGTCAAATACCCACCCAAAAATTACACACATGATTATTTTTTATATTTATTAAATATGTATGAAGGCCCTATATTAAAAGTTTGCTTTGGGTCCCCAAAAAGTCAGAGCCGACCCTATTGGACAAATCCCTCTATACTTCCATGTCTAAGTCACCGACTCTCTCAAGAATTCTACATTATTCCAATATTGAAAACTAAAAACTCATACCACAACTGTGGGGACCCTGAATTTCTCCAGCATGTGAACTCCTTATGGTCAAGGTAAAGTAGCTGTGAATGATGTCGTATGACTTGAAACTCAAAAGAACAATGAGCTTACCGACGGATGCTTGCTGAAAAACTCCTTTGATGCTTAAGTTAGCAGCTAGGATCAAATTGCAAGAAAGCACAGAGTATATTTTGAGTATTAAGAACTACATTACCATGTTTTAAAAGTTGAGACTTTTATATCTTTCAGCATAGTAGACTCTTAGTGGGACTGTCATTCCAATTGATAACCTCAATTTACTGGAGGTTTATCGCTTAAGGATAAAGCTCATCCTTAAGCACCCTGACCTAATAGGTTTCTATGAAGCTTAGCAATTGGGCCGAGCAAACCATCTTCTCGATTTTTCTCAACTTGTTCAGCTATTTAGTCATTTCTTGCTCATTTCGGCCAAAAGGCTATAGAGCTATGAACTAAGGCTTTGCGTCATATTTTACTCAAGTTAGGTCTATTAACCTAGCATAATTATGCCCGATCACTTGAGCCTAACTCGACCCAATACTTGTGGGACACACTGTGGGATGCTTTTGCCTAGCCCAACATTTGTGCTATACTCCAAGGTCATGTTTGATTCACAAAATTAATAGTGAAATATTAATAACCCTATTAAATTAGTATGGTATTCACTATCCAATTGGATTAATATCCATTGGATTAATAATCCCATCCATATCCCATTACTAATAATCCTATAAACTTGTTGGATTAATTATCCATTTGATTAATAATCCTAAACCAAAATGTTAAAACAAACATAGGATAATTGGGCCCACGGATTAATAATCTCAATCCCATACTCTAATCCACCCAATCAAACATGCCCCAAGTGTATAAAATGTCATCATTTTAGTAGGTCATCTGTGAAGCCCCTGAAAAATGTATTTTTTTTAAAAACCCTTACATTTGAATTATTTCCTTAAAAGCCCCTCAGTTTCCATTAACCTAGCATAATTATGCCCGATCACTTGAGCCTAACTCGACCCAATACTTGTGGGACACACTGTGGGATGCTTTTGCCTAGCCCAACATTTGTGCTATACTCCAAGGTCATGTTTGATTCACAAAATTAATAGTGAAATATTAATAACCCTATTAAATTAGTATGGTATTCACTATCCAATTGGATTAATATCCATTGGATTAATAATCCCATCCATATCCCATTACTAATAATCCTATAAACTTGTTGGATTAATTATCCATTTGATTAATAATCCTAAACCAAAATGTTAAAACAAACATAGGATAATTGGGCCCACGAATTAATAATCGCAATCCTATACTCTAATCCACCCAATCAAACATGCCCTAAGTGTATAAAATGTCATCATTTTAGTAGGTCTTCTGTGAAGCCCCTGAAAAATGTATTTTCTTTAAAAACCCTTACATTTGAATTATTTCCTTAAAAGCCCCTCAGTTTCCAAAATTATTTCGAATCTTGTCGGTTAGTTTTTTTTTTTTTATCGAAACAAGAATATCCTAGCTGAATTAGGTTCCTTAGTCTAATTTAATTTAATTCTACATAAGTAAGGTTCCAATGCATGAGTTTAAATTCCAAGCCCTTACTCTTTATTTAAGTTCAAAAATTACCCCAAGAACTAGTACATGTACTTTATATTATAGGTATCATCAATCAAATTGAGATCTATATATATACATTGGGAGATGTGTCCCTAGTACCTAAATTGAATAAAAAAATAGCCCCATCACCCTTCCCAATGGTCGGCCACCCTAGGAAGATGTGAGGAGCCTATTTCCAAGAATTGTAATCATGGTATTCTAGAAACCCTAACACCTAGTACCCCTAAACCTAGGGTTTTGTTTCCAATGCTAGTTTCATTTCAACTAGGGACCAACTAGATATTGCCTAATCCTATGATTAAGCTCCCTAATCTCTCCTATTCCATTAGACTCCAAGTAAATCCTAACTTTTCCATCAAATTCCAACTAGTGAGCCTTTATGTCTTTTTACACCAAAAATTGCCTATAAATACCACCACCCCCTAGCATGGCAAACACAAACAACACACACACACACACATTCAGCCTAGAGGAGAGGAAGGAGAGCAAGAGAGAAGTCTTGAGAGGGAGAGGAAGGAAGAGAAAAGCCATCTTGTTCAAAGCCTAGCAAGTAAGCCACAACACAACCTTCTTTTTCATTTTCCTTTGTCAAATACATGTTCTTAAGGGTTCTAAATAATGTTTTCAGATGTGTTATTGATGAGTTACTTGTGTTAAAAATGATAAGAGTTGAGCCTTGATTTTACCTCTCTTGTATTTTTCCTCATTTCAGTACAAAACTATCTTTTTCATACCGATCTCTC